GTTATCCTTCATGATAAAGTAAATTTCTTTCCTGTTTCAGCAACATCAACTGTTTTCCTTTACGTAGAAAACGCGTAGGACTGGTACAGTTCTGTTTTGGTGCTGTGCGTGGAAAAATATTTTCTACTTTTTAGTTTTTGATTTTTGATTTTTGAGTTTTATGTTTCCGCACCATAACAATGTCTCCAATTTCAAATTTCCGTCGCGTTCTGGTTTGATTCTTGAGCATTCGGTGGTGTTCCCTTTGTTCCTCATTGAGAAGTTTAAGCAGTTCCTTTTGTCTCCAGAAGAGTGAGAACATTGTCTCGATGTGCTCTAGTGTGTTCTGTCCTGGCGTTTGCTGGTGTCGTGTCCTGTTTTTCTGACGCGCCTCCAATATTGACAATGCCGCTGCTGCGTTGTCGAGTGGGAATTTGAAGTGTCGTGCCACTGCGGCGAATGATCGTTGGATATCCGTGCCATCTACTGGGGCTGCATTCCATGCGTATGTTCCAAACATGGTGTTCATTGCCCATTCTTTGTATGTGTTCATGTCGGCTGCTCCGATTCGTTGCACCTTGTTGAGGTATTTGTGGAATCTTTCACATAGTATTCCGTCGTGGTTTTCCGGACTGACTGTGTGGTATGCGATTCCAATCGTGTCGCATAGGGGTGTAAATTGATCTTTGTTTTTGCTGCCTTTGTCGATGAGGATCAATCGTGGCAGGCCTCTGACGGTGAAGAATTGCAAGAATGCTATTCTGGCCATGTTCCCTGAGTCCATGGAGCTGATGAAAGCGACCGTGGCGCAACCTGTCATGTTGCAAACGTAAGTGACTACTCCTTTGTTTGTGAGTGTCTTCCTCAAAGTTGTGGACAGTTTGGTAGCGTTCTTTGTTGATCCTGGCGACCAAACGTCCATGCAACATTCGTCAAATGGTTCGTCTATTGGGGTCCGTTGTAGAACCTTTTAGTTTTTTTGGCATTGCAATGTCCGCATCCTAGGACTGCTTCTCTGATATCCTTTGCCATCCCGGGCCACCAAAACCTTGCGGCTATCCTGTAATACGTCTTGTGGAACCCTATATGTCCTGCCATTGGTGATGCGTGGTATGCTGCTATGATTGTGGCTCTCAATCTTGGTGGGACGACTGCTCATCGTAGTTGACGCATTGGTGCCGACTTCGGTTCTTTTAATTGGTATAGGAGGATGCCGTTTTCAATCTCTAGCTTATCTCTGTTGAGTTCTGAGGCATACGTTGGGTTTGTGAGCTTTGATCTGTCTACCTTTTTGTTGTTGCGGATTGCCTTGATGATGTGGCTGATGTCTGGGTCTCCGTTGCATTTCTCTCGCCAGTCTTCTCCTGTTGGGATCGGTAGCGTTGTGAATGGGTTGATGGATCTGCTGACTATCGCTGTTAGGTGTTTCTTAGCATGTTTTGGTCTTGCGTACATTGTCAAGAATTTGTGTTCTGTTTTGTCCGATAGGTGTTGTCGCTGAATGTTTTTGCACATGCTGTACGTGAACACTTGCTGCCACACCTGTTGTGGTGCTATGCTCTTCATTGTTTCTTTTGTCTCTCTCCAACTGAGTTTCTCCTCAAACAACAGTTTTCTGCTGTCCTCTTTTGTGAAACCAAACAGGCTGAGGGCTTCCCAAGGTCTGATCGTTTGGACCGGTGATGTTACCTCTGCGTCATTGGTTGCGATTGCTATTGTGCCTTGCGCTGAGATCATGGGTGTTGTGTGGAAGCTGGGGGAGATTTCGGTGGTATCGTAGATCTCATGTTCTTGTGTGTGTCCTTGTGAGTTGACCGTGTGGACTCTGTTTTGTCCTAGCCTTGCCACGTTGAAATATCCCGTGTAGCTTTCGTTTGGTGCGTCCATAGCGTTTTCGATTGTTCCTGGCTGTGCGTATGGATCTTCATCGACTAAACTTCTGCTCCATGCCTCCGTCACTCTTCTCCCGGCTGTGAGTATGATGGTGTGTTCGGTGTCTATGTCTGCTTGTGCTGTGCTGCCTCTGGCTGTGCGTGTCGCGGTTTGTAGGTCGGTTCTGTCTCTGGTTTCTCTTTTGATGTATTGTTCCCATTCGTCGATGATCTTGCCGGGTGGCTTTCCTGTCCACATGAGTATGCATTGTGTTGCTCCCTGTGTCGTTGCTTTTCTGATGATGGTGCGAAGGGCCTCCGAGGTTGTTGAGTTGTATTTTTCCATGTTGGTTACAATCAACCATTCTACTGGCGGTTGTGCTGTGTTGTTGACCAGCCTTTTGGCAAACGTTTCAATGTTTGGTATGTCGTGTTGTAGCTGCCAATATTCCTCCTCGCTGGTGCTAGCTGTTAGCATGATGGTTCCTCCAAGTAGTTCGAAGCTGTCCACAATGGTGTCTAGGGATCTTCCGATGATCCATTTTGCTCTTGCTGTGTCGCATATTTGCGCTAGTTCTGTTCGTGTTGTAATCCGGTCGCCTTTCACAGTGGGTAGTAGGTGCTGTCTGGACCAGGGCGGGGCTTCGTCTTCTCTGAGTTTCCATGCCGCAGCAATGATCGGGTTGTCTGTGTGGGCTTCTTCCGTATTCCTCCATGTGCTTAGGATGCCCTCGTATCTTGACAGGAGGTCGCATTCTGTGAGCATCTTCGCTGGTCTGTGAACTATAGTGAAGATGAATGTCAATATCTCTAGTTTCCACTGTTGTAGTGTGTGTGTGATGTCGTATTCGCCTTCAAAGAACTTGGTTAGTCCGCTGCAGTCCGTGATCCACGTAAATTCTTTTTCGATGAGCCATTGTCGGAACTTCTTCATCGCCCATCGACCTGTTACTGCTTCTCCCACAAAGGAATGGCAGTCTCGCTCTTTGCCCTTGCATATTCTCGATATGAATGCTATGGGTCTGAGTCTGAGTTTTGACATTGATTTGTCAAACTCGCATTTTCCTCCTTCGATCTCTTTCCTCATTGATTCCTCTGCTTCTTCTGTCGTGTCCGCTTGTGGGAGGACCGCTCCCATGGCGTTGCTTGACCAGTCCGTTTTCAAGTAGAATTGTCTCTTTGGATTGGGTCTCTTCGATATTGGTCCTGTGACAATAGCTTGCTTGAGTTCGTCCAGCGTTTTGTTGTCCTGTGGCTCCCATTGTGCTTTCACTTGTTCTGCTTCCTCTTCTTTTGTGCATTCTCCGGGCTTTGGTTTGTCCATCACCATGGTCCTCCATCGTTGGATCTTTTCCTCTAGATGTGGTATCCATTGGGAGTAGCATCCAAATAGTCCGTTGATCATCTGGATGTCCGAGTATGATGCTGGTGGGCATAGCTTTTCGACTGTCGAGTACTTGGATTGTGCCGGGGTGTTTCCATTGGGCAGTAGGTCACGTCCCACAAATTCTGCCCGTGCTGGTAGGAACCTCGTATTTCTTAGGTTGACGGACACTCGGTATCGTTGGAGGATTTCAAGTGTGGCTACAAAGTATGCGATCAGTGATAAGATGTTGGTGTCGAATAGCATGATGTCGTCAACGATTACTGATGCATTTGGGTCCGTTTCTAATAGAGCGATCGCCACTTTTGCTTCAATGTCCTTGACGGCGCTTTCGCCCAGGATCAGCGTGATGGCCGCTCTGTGCTTGTTGATGATGTCCAGTAGTTTTTGTAGTGCTGCTTTTGGGTCTCGTTTGTACAACTCGTGCCATTCTTTCTTGAATTGAATGGTTACACAGACAAAGAATGCGTGGGCGCTTAGTATCCCCATTGGCATCACTAGGAAGTGCTTCTTGCCGTCTGGTACGAAGAACGCCGTTTTCTCTTTTGATGAGGCAGCCATCTTGATCTGCCAGTAGCCTGCGTCCAAATCCATTGTGATAAAAAACTTTGCATCTCCAACTGTATCCACTGCATCGTCACATCTCAGGATGTAGAAGTGGAATGGTCTCGTGACTGCATTCAGTTTGCGGTATGACACGCATAATCGGAAGATGTATTGGGACCAGTGGACGTGTCCTTGGTTTGGTTTTGCTGCCAGGACTACTTGCGCTCCCCATGGCCCAAAGTCGTCCTCGATGAGTCCTTTGCTCTCTAGTTGTTCCACCAGGTTTGTCATTACCCGGCTTTCGTGCGGTCCGTATCTCGGTTGCTTGCAGCACACGGGGGGAATGGTGCCTGTGTCGATGTTGAATTCGTAGCCTAGGATGTGTTTTTGCATCCCTTCTTTGGCAAAGACGTCCCAGTATTCCTTCAAGATTGCGTCGAATATGGGCTGCCATTCGCTCGGACAATCTCTGTATTGCACCTGTGACTCGAGTTCCTCCAAGTGTTCGTCTGCATTCCATTCTATCATGTCTGTACGCCTCTGCACTGGTGCTTTTTGTTTGATTACTGTCTTTCCATGTTCTTCGAACATCCAATCGTGGAATTTTAGTTGGTGGAATCCCACGAAGACTCTTCCTCCTGGTCTTGGTGGTGCGGATTGTCCTGGAATGTAGCTTCTGTTGGGTCTGATTTGTCCTGTGCTGTTTGCAATTCCCACAATTTGCTTGATTCGCTTCTCTTCTTTCTCTGCTCGTTCGCGTAGGCGGTGCATTCGAGACAGGTTGCTGGGGTAGTCCATAAGTAGTGGTCCTGCTGCTCCTGTCTCTAGGTGTTCAGCCCCAACGTCCTTGATTTCTTGTGTGAAGGCTTGGAATGCTACTCCTGCCAAGTCTGATAGGTTGGTTGGCGGGGGATTCTCATGGTTGAACCCGTTTAGAATCGTGGCGATTCTGCCAAATAAAGTAGCCACCCTGTCGTACATCATCGTGCCTCCTTTGTATCGGATCATGTTAAACTTTGCCAGTTGTTGGTTTGGCGTCTCCATTCCTTGTTGTAGTCCGACGTATGTGGCCGTGAGTGCTTGTTCTAGCGCTTGGAATTGAGTCTTTGCAATCTATAAAAATCAAAAATCAAAAATCAAAAACTAAAAGGTAGAAAATATTCTTCCACACGCTTCTCCAAAACAAAACTGTACCAGTCCTACGCGTTTCGTACGCAAAGGAAAACAGTTGTTGTTGTTGAAACAGGAATTAAATTTACACCAACATGAAGGATAGCATCGTGAACCCGCCGGAGAAGGACCCGAATTCGATCATGACTGTAGCTGACCAAGGTCAGGAAGGTCTCGAGGAAAAAAACCGATCAAATTCGACCACTCAGTCGTTGATTGCTCTGACAAAGGACAACCCTGCCATCACAACTCCCCAGCGCCGCAGCAAGCGAAACCCTTCAAAAACCGCCGAGGATGGCGCAATGAAAGGTCGCTCGCTCCTCCCATCTGAAGTTGCCCAA